GAGGGGGGCAGTTCCACATCTCACCCGGCCTTTGGCGGCGGCTTCCAGGGTCGCTCTCGGGGTGGGTTTGGGGGACCCCTCCGGCCTCCGGAACTGTTTGGTCTTTGGTCGTGGACAGACTTCAGGGGGGCCGCGAGCTTCTGCAGGCCATTTTATCTCAGCTTTAAGCAAAACGCTGGAGCGCGGAGGTGATCCGCCCGGAGGCTGCCCTCATGCGGGAGGCCAGTGTGCAGGTGGCAGGCCGGGGGCACGCGCGCTTGTCATTCGATGATTCACGTAGCAGCCCTGTCAAGAGCCATTTAAAGGTCGGACCCTGCTAGGTGCTGGGGTGATGCGATGTTGAGCAGAAACGGAGTCCAGTGCTTGTGTTTTCTTCCTTCTGCCTTTACTCTTACTGACTACTCATTTCTTAGCAGTTTGCCCCCGCCTTTTTTAGTGAAATTGTTTCATACATTTGTAACACAGTTGGATTGCTTTGTCATACTCTGCTTTACATCCTGGGATCCTTCTACCTAATGAGTTTTCAAAAATGTGCATACATTGCATGCATTCTTTGTGCTATAAGGTTCTATGGATTTTTTTCTTTGTGCTATAAGGTTCTATGGGTTCTGACAAGTGTATGATGGCATGTCTCCACCGTTATAGGTTCATACAGAGTAGCTTCCCTGCCTTAAAAAATTCGCCTCTGCTTTACGTATTAAACCCTTCTTTTCCTCGAACCCCTGACAACCACAGGTATCATTACCGTTTCCATAGTTGCCTTTTGTGGAATGTCATATAATTAGAATTATACAATATATTGCCTTTTCAGACGCCTTGAATACTTGGAAGTATCTGTATAAGATTCACTTATGTCTTCGTGGCTTGATAACTCATTTCTTTTTAATCACTGAATAATATCTCATTGCATGGATGTACTTCAGTTAATCCATTCAGCAATTGAAGGGCATCTTGGTTGCTTCAAGTTTTTGGCAATTATGAATAAAGCTGCTGTAATCATGTATGTGCAGATTGTTTTTGGAAATGCATTTTTATATCAGTTGGGTAATACCTGGAAGAGTGATTACCGGATCATGTAGTAAGACTAGTTTTCTAAGCAGGTGCCAAGCCATCTTCCAGAGTGACTGTGCCATTTGACTCCTACCAGCAGTGAAGGCTCTCCTTGTTGCTCTGCATGCTTGCCAGCGTGCGGGGCTGTCAGTTACTTTGGATTGCTATGCATTCTGATAGATGCGTAGTGGTATCTTGTTTTAACTTTGGAATATCTCATGACATACAGTGTTCAGCATATTTTCGTATGCTTATTTGCTATCTGAGTTAATTTCATTTGTGAGAGGTGTTCACATCTTTTGCCCATTTTTAAATTGGGTTGTCTGCTCTGCATTGTTTTGTAACTTGTTTCTTCCTTACTCTTCAGTTATCAAATAAATCAAGATCGAAAAATATCTTGATATTTTATATTCTCCTGTTTTATTTAAATTTCACAAAGAAGTATTTTAATATTTTTATATTTTCTTGAGTACTTAGTATTCCATAATATGGATATGCCTTAAATTTTTTTAACTATTCCTTCGTTGTCGGACATTTAAGGGTTTCTATTTGCATTTTTGATGTTCCATATCATACTTCATTGAGCATCCTTATAGGTCAGTCTTATGTATATAGCCTTTGAATGGATTCCTAATGCTGTAGACCCAGTGTCCTCTAGGTTTCATTACCATTAGCAGTTTAGGATGGTACTCATTGTGTTGTCCTAACTCTGTAATCATTTTAAAAATTATTTCTCATTTTGATACATGAAAAACTAATGTCTCTTGATGATAGTCTTTTGTTTTTTTTGTAGCAAGATTAACCACTTTTTCATGTGGTTTTTAGCTGTATTTTATAATTTTAAAATAAGCTATGTGTTTTTATTCTTTGTTTTGCTTATTGTGCTATACAATCTCTGTATATAGTAAGGCTGTTATCCCATCATACGTGTTGAACTTTTTCAGTTTATTTTACTTTTGGTTATATTTCTTTTCTTTTTTTGGAAGGATTGTTTTGGCTTTAGCGTGGAGAATAAATTGGGATGCTGGAGACAGGAGTTGAAGCAGGCCTTTGCCTTATAGATGAGAGGTGTGAGGATGTCAACAGAGTCAGCACACAGCATAGGGAGGTGATGCAGTGTTCAGAGAGTTTGAAGAGTTAGGATTTCGTGCGTAATTCTGCAGTTGAAGGAAGAAGGAAGGTGTCACTCAAATTTGCTGTCTTTTGCTTGTTAGGTAGTGGATATTCCCTGCTGTGAGGGAAAGCAGATTTGGGGGCTTTTCACCTTAGCTCTGTTACCTTCAGGTGCCTTCAGGACATCTAGGTGGGGCTGTTTAATAGGCAGTGGGGTAACTAGGTCAGGAGCTGGGGACAGAAGCTTGGATTAGAGAAATATTTTTTATTCCCTTCCCTTCACTCCCAAGCTGCCCTCCATCCCTGTCTTTCTTCCTTCTGTCCGTCCGTCCGTCTGTCCATCCATCCACCCATCCATCCATCCATCCCCCCTCCCTCCCTCCCTCCAATTTTTATTGAACATAGTAAACATATTTAATAAAAATTTCAGACACTGTTCCAGGGCCTGAGGATTTAGCAGTGAACAAACAGACAATATATCTGCCCTTAATGAAACTTGCATGTACAGAGTGGTGGGGGATAGACAGCTAATTAAACAAATTAATAGGCAATAAAGATGTAGATGTTGGCATTTTTATCACCAAGAGATTTCTCAATTTTTTTACCTAATAATTGCTAATGCCTACAGGAACCAGAGTGGTCACAACGTGCTGCTGTGTGATTTTGTGTTTTTCAGAGAGGAATTCATAGCAGTGTGCAGTGCAAGCTGCGCTATGGAATGTGGCATTTCCTATTTGGGGATAAAACAAGCACGAGACTGACAGAGCGCAGCAGGGTGATAACTGTAGATGGCAATATATGTACCGGAAAAGGCAGACTTGCAAAAGAAGTAGCAGAGAAACTAGGTATGATTTTATGTTATACAGAATGATACGTTTTTCTCAGATATATGGTTGCTTATTTCACTGATGTTTCTTCAATATTAATATTAAATAATATTAAATGTTTAGTAATTGGACCTAAGATGGGTATTTCACATTTTTGTTTATTGAAAAAGCTGTTTTATAAAACAAGAAAAAGCTGTTTTTAATCTTTTGTGTTTGGAAAATTTGTAAAAATCCATGCTGGTTGTCAGTTTGAATTGGAATTTTATGTGGACAGTGTAAGCAGGGCACTGCCACGTAAACTGTTGTGTTTGAACTTTGCGACAGCCTCTGAAATAGAGCTGAGGATGGTACTCATTCACAGATGGGTATACTCCTAAGTGAGCGGGTGCCACATAGCTGGGTCCCACAGCCAAGGTTAGAGCCCCTTCCGGACTCCTGGTGCAGCTGTGTGTCCCTCGTACCTTTCTGTAGCACCTGCATGACAGCAGCTGCCCGCTAGAGGGGGCTCCTGTGGTTACAGGGAGCAGTGCTTTCAGGAGGAACCTGGATAAGGGCACGGTGCAAGCTCCTTCGCTCACATGCTTGCTCGTATATGTTGTGTGTTCCCTTCATACATGATGAAACCCAGGCATGAAGGTGACTTTCTCTAGGTCTTTGGCGCCATCCCTGGTGGTGATAATCGGGCGGGCTGTGTGTTTTGGCTAGGCCACACTGCTCCCTGCGGGAAGTGAGTGATGTACATGAGACTGCATCGATTGTTTCTCTTTTCAGGCTTCAAGCACTTTCCTGAAGCGGGGATTCATTATGCAGACAGTACCACAGGAGATGGGAAGCCCCTCGCCGAAGACTATAGTGGCAATCTTAGTTTGGAGAAATTTTATGATGATCCGAGAAGCAATGATGGCCACAGTTACCGCCTGCAGTCCTGGTTGTACAGCAGTCGCCTCCTGCAGTACTCAGATGCCTTGGAGCACTTGCTGACGACAGGTGCAGTATTTCTGGGCAGTTAGACTTGTTCTGTACTTGAATGCTATTCTAGAATTCAGCCACGTTAAATTGCCACTGAGTCGAGCTTTCCTTTAAGGGTGTTTAATGAAGTAAGCTCTGTCTTTCCAACAAGATCATGAATTTCTTGAGATTGTGTTATTTTTGCTTCAGAATTAATTTAATGCTATTTCACTGTGGATACTGGAGTGAGATTTATGGATTGTATAGAATTCTCAAGGCACTGCTTTAGGCTTGTATACTTACATATTCATTTATATATGAAATGTGTCAAAACAAAGGGGAAAAGGGAGCATAGACGTGTCCAGGAGGAAATGGGATCACACTTATGAAGATTGTGCATGTGCCATACAGACAGAGATGGGGATGCCAACAAAATAGGGTTGTTCTGGAGGGCCCAGAGATAGGCTGGAATTCACCATAAAGCCACAAGGTAGACGTTAACCTTGATAAGATGACGGGGGTAGGGAGAACACGCAGAGTCCCATAGGCCAGTGCAGGAGGAGAGGATGCTTCCCTTGAAGATGTCCAAACAGGAAGGAAATGGGCAGGAACTGTGTACTGGGGAGGCTGGGAGATGGAGACGGGGACCAGAAAGTGGAGCTGTGTACTGGGGAGTCAGGGAGATGGAGAACAGGGATCAGAAAGTATAGTTAGGAGAGGAAGGGAATGTGGATGAAAGGGCAGGAACATGGACTACTTGTGTGCAGAACGAGGTTAGGGTCCAGCCAGGGGCGACTGTAATCATCCTGGGAAACAGCAGTGCATGCTAGACATCCTGAGAGTTGGACCGCAGATGCACTGCCGAGTTGTGGTCAAGGCTACCATGCCACGGCAGTCCTGAATTCACAGGTGGCAGCAAAGGGCACATCTGTGTGCAGAGAGAGGGAGCTGGGTGGGTTCTTGGGGCCTGTGTGTCTGTTTTACATTGCAGTGCTTGCCACGCTCATCGATTGGCAGTGCCTCTGATGAGCTTCTCACACACAAGCTCAGCTCCCACTAGGATTGGCTTCATGAGGTCTGAGCTGTGAGAACAAGAATGTGGTTTTCACCAAGAGTGGCCGGCTGACAGGGCTCCTTCTCAGAGCTGTGCTCAGGAGCTGCTGCCTGTGCTCCTTCAGGTCTCCACGGATGCAGTGTGTGTCCATGACACGTATCTACACAGTTGTACAGTGGTGGAGTTACTGTCTTGCTTTTTCAACATTTTATTAGTGATTCTTTCTTTTCTTATATGAACGTAAGCCCTGATCTTAGTTAGTGTTACTCCTAAGAAAACAATGTGGTCTGCTGTTTCTGTTTTGAGATGCTTTACCGGAGCCAATCCAGGAGCTGATGTCGTAGCATGGACTTATACTGACATCCAGGCTTACTCCACGTTCTTTTTGAAGCATTCTTCAACCCTGTCTTCTGACTATTCATTTCTTAAAATGAAAAAGAAACATTTTACTTGTTAAATAAAACCTTGCTTTTTTGTGTGCTATAGTAACCTATTTCCCGTTTAGAAAAAAAAGTGCAGCTTGCTCCCATCTCAGTGTTCTTGGGGCACATTGGCGCTGGGTTAATGTATTCATTAAATATTTAGTGCATGACTGCTGTGTGCCAGACCCATTCTGGGAGCTACGGGTGCCACAGGGAGGGAAGCCTGTGTTTTAGTAGGGGGACGAAGACTCGATGTGGAAACAAGAATGTCTTGTCCCAGGTGAGTGGTGGGTGCTCTGAGGAAGGAGGCCACGGCGAGAGGCTAGGTAGGAAGATTAGGGGAAGCCTCTGCCCAGACACAGCAGGGTTGACCACAGGGAGGCTGGCTGGGAACCGGGGACCAGTGCTCTGAGCTGCACCAGTCTCCGACGGGGCTGCTGTGATACTAACACAGCCAGTGAGGCTGGGAGTGGACGGAGGTGAGGTTGAGAAGTAGCCCAGCATTGGTAGACCTGACTGGAATGGTGGGGGCAGGAGCAGGATAGGGGTGGACACTGTAGGGATGGAATACATTATTTAAAAACAAAGCACTTTTTGTATTAACTGGATGCTTTCCGTTATAGCTGACTGAATGAAACAATGTTATATTGCTCAAAACTGAAAAGACAATTTCAGTTTTTGAAAATGACTTTCCACTTTTGAATATGTGTATGTTCTTTTCAGTATTTTGGTGTGGAAATGGAATTGTAAATGACTGTTATTTTCTTTTTTCTGAAATACAGTGATCAGTTGACAGTGCTATGCTCTGTGTCTGATTTTCAGTTTCTGTTTGCTTGTTTTTAAACAGGACAAGGTGTTGTATTGGAGCGCTCCATCTTCAGTGACTTTGTGTTCCTGGAGGCGATGTACAACCAGGGATTCATCCGAAAGCAGTGTGAGTCAGGGTTGCAGACAGGCTTCTGGGTGTGTGGTGTGTCTTTGCAAAGGCTGTAATAGATTCACCTTGCACTTACTGTGTTTATGAATGTTTGTTGATGAATAAATGCCATTACTTAATCGGTCTCCACTGGAAAAAGGGACTTCCTAAGGTGTCTTCCACCCTTTCTCCCTCCTAAAATAGGTGTATTTTATGCTATCATGTCTCCCTGTAAAAGCAGATTGGAGCCCTGGACCTCAAACACACACAGCTTAAACTGCAGTCCCCACAGCCTCCCTGTGGTTAGAACCTGCCCCGCGCTCAGCCTGCCCTAGCAATACCTAGGCTATAGCTCTAATTGTAATAAACGCTCCAGTTTCTAGTGTATGATTTTGATGAATTGGGATGTTGGCCCTGCCAGTTGCCGGCATCACCGCAGTCCTTCCCTCTGACACGTTGCCATTTTTCAGGACAGTAGCTTTGTGTTGCTGTATTGAGGAAGGTCTGACAAGTGGCAAATGGAAAGGAACAAAGACCACGTGGTTTGAAGCAGGCTGACCTTGAGGAGTCAGGGTGGGGTTGGGGTGTCTGTGACTAGGACTCTGTTGGGTGGTGTGTTGAACAGGCCTGGTGGACAGCCTGACTGACGGCGTTTTCATCTGTAGACTGAGGTGGCTGGAGCCAGTGGAAAGCTGGAATCTGGGAACTCAGAGGAAGTACTATTGGTTAGTGAGTGAAAGAGGAGGCCAAAGCAAGCCAGGTGACGATTCTGCGGAGGAGACGCCTGCTCCTGGCTGCTCGTGTGTCCTGGTGTTACTCCACCTGTGAGCTTGCCGCCCACAAGAGCACTGCAAGCCCTTGTTTCTGATGGGGGCTGATCCTCCCTGGGTATGCTGAGCAGCGGGTCAGGTCACCAGCAGGTGTTTCTGGAGTGCCTGTGGTGTGCCAGGTTCTCTTAGGTGCTCGGGATATGAATATGAAGAAACGTAAGACAAGGCTCCCACAGGCCCGGGGTTGGGGGCTGTTGAACCAGCGGAGATGGTTAATTGCAATCAAGTGTACTTAGCAGCTCCTGAGCATTACTCCTGGCTGCTTTAGGGGCACATAGGAGAAATGTGTAACCAACTGGGAGATGGGATAGTGTCAGGGACAGCTGTTTTGACAAATGGCCTGTCATCTGTAGCGCAGCAGGAGTGAGGGAGGCGTGGGGATGGTGGAGAAGCCCGCGTGTGCCGCAGGCTGGTGGTGGTGTCCTGTAGTGAGGGCTGGGTGCTGGGGGAGAATGATGCTGGCTGAGGCTGCACGAGGAAGGAGCTGCGCCTTGGCGAGGATGCTGGCTTCTGTGCTGAAACTAGTGAGGGACCCCTGGAAGGTCTTTAGCATAGCAGAGGTGGTTAGATGTGAGTTTAAAATGGTTGCAGGCCTTCGTCTGAAGGATGCATTTGGTGAGGAGAGACGGAAGTGGAGGGAGCCTATCTGGGAGGAAATTGGGGTGGGACAGGCATCCCCAGCAGGGAGGCTGCGCTGGGCAATGGGAGTTGCTGCTCAGGAGGGACACTGGGCAGGCCTGGGTGGGTGGCTTCCTGCGTGCACAGTGGGGAGTGGCGTGGACCTGCCCTGGCTGGTGGGCTGCTAAGGGGGAAGGACGCACAGGGGCAGTGGACCCAGGTGGCTTCATGTTTGGGTAGGTCGGATTCCTGAGTGTGAGGTTCCCATGGCAAGGTGGCAGGAGACACCTGTTGGCGTCTGCTGAGTGTCTGCTGAAGTCTGAGGACTGCCCTGGGCTGGAGGTAGTCTGCAGGCGTTGGGGGTCCAGCACTGACCAAGGGCATGCTTATCTTGGGAAAGCCCAAGTAGTGATGGGGGAGGGCTGAGACCAGATCCTTGGGGGACCGTTTCTGGGGAGATGAGACCCCCCTGACGGATTGAAGCTGAATGATCAGAGGTGCACAGGAGGAAGCAGAAGGTATGTGGGGAGAGTTGGTTGTTGGTGTCACGTGTGCTGTAACTGTGATGAGAACTGAGAAGTGACTGTCACGTTTCACCTTGTGGGGGCTGGTGACGTTAGCCAGAGTCGTTTCAGTGCTGGGCTGGGGGAAAGCAGATCATGTTGGCTAAAGGACAGGTGGCATAGAGCAAGGTGGGAACCACCTGAGAAGTGAGTGTATCGGCGGGAAGGAAGGTGAGAGCAGAGACTCGATGAAGGAAGGTTTGATCTCAGCAGCAGGAGAGCCCAGCCTGCTACTGGCCCAGCAGTCAGGAAGCAGACCTGAGGCCCCGTGTGCTCTGCCTGGCTGCGGGTTTGTTTCTATGCTCAGGTGAACGGTACTCCACTGGCAGCCTCCGTCCTTCGCTTTGTCACACCTCCTCCTGGGTGGTCTTTTTCTTTAGCTCATGCCATCCCTGACCATGAGCCAGGGCCCATCCCGTGATCGCCTCTAGAGTAGGTTACTAGGAATACTCACTGGAACTTTTCTTTAAATTTAATTTTAATTTAACTTTTAAAATTTTTATTTATTTATTTTGAGACTAGGTTAGGAGACTGGCTAATGTTTGTATTTTTGGTAGAGATGGGATTTCACCATGTTGCTCAGGCTGGTCCTGAACTCCTGGGCTCCAGTGATCTGTGCCCACCTTGGCCTCCCAAAGTGCCAGGATGACAGGCGTGAGCCACTGTGCCCAGCCCATTTCCTCAAAATAACTGTCTTTCCGTGAACCCTAGTGTGGCCATCTGTCACTTCTGGAAGGTTCCACATGTGAAAAGCTGCGGAGGGGATGGCTTCTCAACGTGGCCTCTCCACATGCACTGGCGTGCACTCTGTGCTGGCTTCCGGGAGGTCGGGTGTGCACGAGCACGTGCAGGTGTAGAGTGTTCTGAGGAGCGGCAGGGTTCCCTTGGGTGGCATGGGCCCTGCGGATGCCGTCTGGATTATGCATTCTGTGTAGTGATCACTTTAGGAAAATTATTCCTCAGCCTTAGCTGCTTTCAGTTTCATTTTGTCACTAAATCAGACTCAGTAGATACTTCTGTGCAACTGATTATGCTTACTGAACCGGGATAAATGTAGCTTGATTTTCAGCTGAGTTATTTGAAAAATAAAGTGTTTAAAGCTGTTTTTTATTTTCTAGAGAAGACCAGACTGTTGTATCTATTGTTACTATGAAGAAACATAGTAGCAGGTATACACTGCAGGTATATGGAATATATTTCAGTTCAAAGATCACTGAACTGTGACCTCCATCTTGCGTGAACTACGCCTTGCCTCAGAAGCAAAAGTGACCCCTTAAATGTGGCTAAGATGTGCTAAAGATCTGTCTTTTAGGATGATTAAGGTCACAGTTTAAATGCTGATATTTTACTTGTGTAAGTAGCTTAATTTCTCTGGTCCTCAGTCCTTTGGTTTGTAAATACAGTAGAGGTGAGAAGCCCTGTTTGCAGGGTTGTGGGCACCACAGCTGCTGTCTGCACATGCCCTGTGGCACCTGGAGCACAGTCACATGCCGTGTGTGGTCAGTGCTTAGAACTGTGGCTGAGCTAGGGTCTGTAGATTGCTGCTTTCTCTGAGAATTGCACGTATGTTTGCCCTTTTATTCAGGGGGTAGCGTGTTTTAGAAACCTGTGTGGGGACTGGTAGGTGACGGTGCCCATTTCTCTTGTGTGCCAGGTGTGGACCACTACAACGAAGTGAAGAACATCACTGCCTGCGAATACTTGCCCCCGCACCTGGTGGTCTACGTCGATGTGCCCGTTCCAGAGGTCCAGAGGAGGATTCAGAAGAAAGGAGATGTAATGCAGTTTGAAACCAAAGGCCGGGCGTCTCCATTTTTCATGTAGATCAGCACTAAAAGCCCTGTGTTAATAGCACACTAATTCCCACCAGTCCTCACTAGGAGGGGTGACACACACCCTGGTCCCACCCGAGAGAGGGCGTCTGCAGGGGTGGAGGGGAGAACCCAGGGCTTGGCCTGGTGCCGCCGCCTGAGGACCTGCTGCCCACCAGTGCTCTGCGGTCCCGCTGTGGTCCCCCGAGTCCCCTCAGCTGTTTAAACTTTGGAGACTGGGGAGGGCCTCCTGGTAGAGCATCCTCCATCCCTCTGTCACGTACCTTTCTGTTCTGTGATGAGGTTTTTGTGTCCTATCGTTTTCTTTCACATTGAAAGCAATTTCTTCTATCCCTCATCACTTCAATCTATTTAACGCAAATCGTGCCTCTCCCCCTTTTTCTTACTGATTCCAGCACAGTAGAGCGGTGATCTCCACACACATCCATTTACTCTTTGTAGTTTTCGTTGGATCTTAATTAGGTGGCCTGGAAACAATGCCTTTCGAAGGGACCCTGAGTCTGTGGGTAGCTGTGTTGGCGGCTTAGTGGAGGATCCAGAGATGAAACAAGGACTGTCTTTGCCCTGTGGCGAGTTCTTGTTTAATACTGTGTTATTTTTCCCTGGAGGAGAATATGGTCTCCTTTTTGATACTGTGATGAAAATGCAGGACTTCCTGCCTGTTCCTCGCTCTGGTGCCCACCCTCACTGCCGGAATTCTTGTAGGTGCTCAGGAAATACCTTTCTGGATGGTGTGAGGGCCACAGTAAAGCTCTGGGTATTTTTTGCTGCTCCTGAAAGATCCAGGAGACTAACTTTCCTTCTCTCTGCTGCAACAGTAGAAACAGCAAGACATCTGTGTATGCCTTTCTATTGCCGCTCTGGACCTGTCACTGTTTAAGCATACGCTTTTAAGTATGTTGCATAGTCAGACTTCCAAGAACCTTCCATCAAGTGGCAAAAGGAGGGAACTGCAAGTTCAAAATGTTTGTTTCTCAGTGGAATAACTGGACACTTTTGCTTATTATGCTGACATTTATTGGGAAAAACAAAGTCATATATTTAACATTCTCTAGGTAATTCTTTTGTTATCTGGGAAAACAGTATTTCAAAAATAATTCTGAGGTCTAAAGTAGAGCTGTCAACTTTTTAATTTTTCCAAGTAAAGTCTTTAATACTGTCACCAGCTGAAATTACCCCATTTTATAAAAGATGTCACATTATCAGTAAGTCTGTGTTCTTATTTTGATTTTTATTTCAACGCAGTCTGTGTCTCAATATTGCAGCTTTTGGGAATAACTGATGGGAATATCCGAAAACCATTTCTAGATTCTAAGAAAACAGTCAAAGTGATCAGTAACTACATGTTTTATCAATTAACTTCAGGTCTGATTTCTGAGATGGTTGTGTTATGTTGCATGTTATGGGCTTGGATTACACTAGAGTTTCTTTTATAATCAGTAAACATTTAATCTTATTCTACTTGGAACATAGCTAATGATAGAGATTTAGAATCATATCACCTCTTTTATACCTCTGTTACTTTCACTCACTCCTCTAATACAGAGCACGTCCTATATGCCAGGCACCTGTGCCAGGCACCTTGGAGGCTGCAAAGGTGAACAAAGATGGTCTCTGCTCAGACACCAAGTTCTTATTGGAAAATAGAACTCCCAATTACAGCCTTTCCCCCTTTTGACAGAGCAATGAAGTGCAACATTGCTTTTATCATCTTTTCCCTGTACCCCGTCTCATTACTGGAATTAATTATGTGTTCAGTAAATATTCTTTGAATGATAGCGTTTTTCTTACTTTGAATAGCTTTAGTGAGGTATAATTCATGCTTCATAAAATTCACCCATTTTAAGGGTACGATGGAATGATTTTTGGTAAATTTACCAAGTTGTTGCCACTCTTGCCGTAATCCAGTTTTAGAATGTTTTCATCATTTTGTAAGTTGAAACAGCAGGCTTGTTCATTTCTTTCTTCCTTCCTCTCTCCTGTGTTGATTGAGCATCCACTGTGTACCTGGTGGTGCTGGGGGCGTATCAGTGCGCAGGGTGGGTGAGGTCCTCCCCGTGAGCTCGTGTGCTGATGGGGAGACCTACAGCGAACAAGGAGATACATAATAAATATGTCAAATAGAGGAAAATGACGTGAAGAAAATGAAACAGGCTGAGAAGGTAGTGTGAAACTGTAAGGAGTTTTACATTTTAAAACTTGCTACTCGTAATTGGATTTTCAAGTTTCTGAAATTGGCATAGCACATTTCAGATGACGAGGGAGGTGAGAGCTGTAGAAAGTGGGAGGAGTGGTTGCGGGGAGATGGGTGAGCGATGAAGGTGGAGAGCAAGTTGGAGAGATGCAGGGAGAGTCAGGGGACAAGAAGCGGGTGTGCCGAGGACAGGTGGCGGACAGACAGGCCGCTGCCCCCGATTTTTGGTGCTCTTTCTTTGCTACACTCAGGCATGAGGCAGACAGGAGAGACAGGCAGTGCTGCTTGATAACAGGCTTCTTTCTTGCCCTAAGTACGCATCTTAGGATGTGTGGAGAAAGTCACGCTGTGGGAGCACATGGGCAGGCTCAGGTGTTCACTCTCGTAGATGGAGAATGATTCTAGCTGACGTTGGGGCCCTTTGCTGTCACCCCACAGTCCCCACAGTGCCCGACGTGAGTGGTGAGAAAATAAGGCCCAGTGATTTGCATTTTATATATGCACAGGTCAGAGAAAGTGGACTCTAAATGTTCGCGTTTGGTGTTTCTGCTTTTGTTCAGCCACATGAGATGAAGATCACCCCTGCCTATCTGCGGGACATTGAGAATGCCTATAAGAAGACCTTCCTCCCTGAGATGAGGTGAGCCAAACGCACGACCGATTGACGGGACTAGAACTTCTTCGCCAGTCGTTTCTCAGGCTCCAGCAGCCGGGGCAGTGTTCTGTCTTATTTACTGCAGTGGATATTGTCTGAGATGTTTAATCTGATGTTTATAAATAAGAAAAACAGGAGACATTTCAGTTTGAGTTTTGTGGGGTTTATTGGTTTGTTTATTTTGGTTTTCTTATCAATACTTTTGCTCTGCTCTATTTCCGAAGTGTTTTGATGCTAGAAGTAAACCAAGCTGTATTCCATGACAGGTTTTACCGTAGAGAACTTACGTATTTTTACTTCAGGTGTCAACTAAACATTTGTGTTTACCTAGAAGGATTGATTGGGAGTGTATTCATGGAGAAAATTTGTGAAAGATAACATTTTCTCGAGACATTCTTCATTGATGTCTTTGAGAGATGTTTGGATTAGATGAAGGAACCACCACCAGACAGTCTTTCTTCCTTTTCCCCCTTTCTTTCTTTGTTGAAAGCACACGGAAAATGTGGTTTCGCTTGTCCTGTGGCTTGTCATTCTGTGCTTCTGGGGTATATTCGTGTAGAAGGAGTGTCTGCCACACTCATTCAAGTCCAGTTAAACTCAGATTGTTTGAATAATGCTTGCATTGAAGATTTTTATACTATTTCTCATACGTTTTAAAAACCTAAGCCTCTTTTGGTGCCTAAAAATCTCATGTTCTTGTTGTTTAAAATTTCAAAGTAACTGTGAAGTTGGAAATAAAGATATAGTAATTTTAGAAAAAAGTTTTATTTTAAAATTTATTTTAGTTAAATACTGAATATTTACAATGAACAACCTCAGAAGATAATATTGTTAGACCGTAGGTAATTAATAAACAATAAAAAGTAAGAGAAATGTTTTATTTAGCGAGTTTTTTCTGTACCATAAGTATTAACGTTTATGTCATCTCTGCTTGTTTGTGGTGAGCATTTCTTTCTTGGGTGGTAAGAAGACAGGGTGGCCTCTGGCTTCCGTTTAACCTGTTGTACTGCCCTATTTCCAAGGCCACAATACCAAGGGAAGTATCTAGAGCCAACGTGAATAAACAGCATAAACAGAGATAGTTGACCCTAGAGTTTCAGGCTCAAAAATTACTCTTGGAGATTTTCTGGCTTCAGAAACATCACTGAGAATGAGCTTTCTCATAAGTTCTCAAATGGAATTTCTAGCTACAGCATCAGCAAAATGATGACTGGTTTCAGCCTGCGCACGGGGCGAGTTTCTTTTGCTTTGCCACCCTCGTAGACTCGTTAAGCCTCAGGCGTTTATTTCTTACCACTTCGGCTTGCTGTGCTTTTAGCTCTTGTTTTAGGAACAGATACAGTCTCTGTTCATTGTTAAAGGAGCTCTTACCTGACAGCTCAAGCCTATGGATTGATGGGAGCCAATTGGTGTAGGGGTCGTTTGTCACACATTGAAGAATGAGTACCAGATGTACTCTGTGCAGTATGCATTATTTTAAGTGTTGAATTGTAGACCAAGATCAAACTGCAGCTTTGTGATGGACTTGGATCTTAGAAGTTTTCTCTTAGAAATTCACTATGAAATTTGGCTGAAACTATTTTATGTAAAATTTCAAGAAGCCTATAACGAGTTGTATTTTAAAATTTATTGGCCATTAGTGTTTTAGAATTCAGGAATTATTTCCCGACAGAAACAATATTAGGTTTCCTGGGCTTGTATATTTAAACAATCGTTTAGTTAAACACTGAATATTTTTATTGTTAGATCTTAGACCTTAGAAGACAAAATCGCTAGATCATAGGTAATTAATGAACAGTAAAATCAAAACTAAGTAAGAGCTGTTTTGTTTAGTTTTAATACTAGTGTTTGAAATAAAGCAGATCGACCTGACAAGAGGATGGCTCCATTGAAGTTCTTTGTCTCCTGTCTTCCTCTGAGCAGTTCCTCCTGTGTTAGCCCTTCTCTCTGTCACATGCTGATATATGGTGATGCTTCACTGTTTTTGTATATGTTGCTTATAAATGCCTAAAGAGCATTGCAGCCTTTTCCAGAATATTTGTATTGTGGGATTTTAAGAGGCACAATGAGCTAACTCTCATAGGAATGTGTGTTTTCTGGCTTTGTCAATATTTATGACCCAGATCTTAGGCGTACATGTCTTTATCCTCATTACCTTAATTATGAATGTGTTAATGAGTATGAGTATCATTTAGTTTCACAAACATTTGGCCATTCCCTTGTTCAACATCTGTTTATTTACTCAACTCCAACAATGCTAGCTTCCAGTGTCAGTGTTAGCTGAGACACAGAGGTACTCAAGACAGGGTAGGGAAGGCCTTTCTGAAAAAGAATCATCTCTGAGATTTCAGAGACCAGAAGAGAAGCACTGAGTGGCCAGCCTGACATGCAGCGAGTTTTGTAACTGTCCGTTGTTTCAGATTGTTCTAAGGTGGGTGAGGAGCTGGGGAGGCTCTGGAAGTATTGAAGTAACTTGCAGGTTCAGGAATACAGCTTGTGGCTCTCCTCGGCCCTGAGCGACCTGTAGGAATAACCACCATTGAGGTGGCACGTGAACTGCCGGCCCAGTCCTTTGTGGGGTTTCCTCCAGATCCCTGACTCTACACTTGATACCTTCTTATTTTAGGCCTCCTTTCACGAGGCAGTGGGAATGAGAAGCGGATGTGACTGGACAGAGGCGGTTTTATTTGTCTGTTGCTGAGATTGTCAGCATGCTGAATCGAGGCACACAGAAGATAGAAAATGGCTCTCCAGGTTGCTCTCAGCAGGTAGTTTGGGGTCTGGAGCTCATTGAGGGCAGGAGCCCTGTCTTCCCTACTTTCCGCACCCCACACAGCGCCTGGCTCCTGGTGGGGCTTCAGCTGATGTCTGTTCAGTTATGTGTGTGTAATGTACCTGTCACATCATCCTGATCTCTCATGTCCACTCTTGTGCAAGTATGTCAAATAGTTTGTGACCTTTCATATTGCTGTGTGAGAACAAATAATGTTTCTGTGCCAGCCCTGTTCATCAGGAATGCTTAAGACCTCTGTCTCCTGTATGCTTCAGTTGAATATTCTCTTAGGTGACTTGCAGAGGGAATTACTCTTCTTTGTCACTTTGTGCCTTTCTCTTCGTAATAACAATGAGTAGCTGTAGACGGTTCAGGAAGCAATACAGCAAGTCCTGTGTTTAGCGTGACCTTTTCCTTGCCAGCCCTAATGGCAAGTGCAGTAAGTTACTTTCCTCACTATGGATTTATTGTTCACTCTGCTTACAGTTTCTGACCATTTATGTTGATCTTAAGAGCGCTGTGAGGGATGCAGTGACCTTGTTGCAGTGAGAATCTGTTACCCAGTTGTGTGACTCTGTGAATTGTGTGTTACAGACTTGTGTGGAACAGATGTGTTACTGAGTGATTATAGAGCTTGAAGACTTTTTTCTGTTTCCTACACTTTGGAAGTGATACGTGTCAGTAACGATGAGACTTAATAAAATACAAGCTCTTTACCTATACCGTGGAATGTGACTCACCAGTGGGCTGTTGAAGATGGTCAGCAGGGTAGGTGAAGTTTGTTTGGCACCATTGTAGGGGTCAGATGCTGATTTCAGTATGAGAATAAATAGCTTGTACATTCTTGGGAGTATTTATTTACCCTGTATGTTTACATCCTAAATGTGTGGAGGGTACTCCGGTATAAGGATGCCCTCTGCCTGTGCTCGGTTAGGCCCTAGGTTTTGTTGTCCTTTCCTGCAACCGGCACCTAAATGAGATGTCCCTTGTTTATACTGGGCAGATGATGCGTGGGCCACAGTAGCCCCTTGATATTATGCTGGAAGGGGTTTCTAGCGTTTCTGCCGTGGTGGGCACTCCATTGAGCCTCCTGTTCCGGCCTGTCTGCTGGCCTCTCTGGCCAGGATTGGGACTGCATAGGCTCCCTATGGGTGGTCTGGAGATGATGGCAGGGGCAGCTTCTTCACGTGGTGAGGTATGGACATGCTAACCTGCTGCTTTTCAGTCATCCCCTGGCTGGACAGCCAGGTCTCTGAATGGTCAGTGTAGGCATGGGGGAAGCGGGCATGGTGAACTGCTGCTCCCTTCCTTCTGGGACCTGGTGCTAAATTCTCAGTGGCCGGACTAAAGATCAAGGATGAAGATAACTGAGTTGCTGCTACCCTGTTGTATAGTTTGGCTGAAACAGGTTACTTTGAGGGTTTCATTTGTCTCGTAAATTCTAAATCCTAGTAGCTCAATTAACCTGTGTCCCACTTTGCCAGTTTTGTGCCCTCTGTGCCTGTCCTCGGTTAGGCCCTGGGCTTCGTTGTCCTTCCCTGCAGCGGGCACTGCATTTGGCGATGGTATGTGCAGCTGCCGACGTGGCTCATGTACCTTGTTCCTGTGGACAGTGATGGCTGTGGTCTGTCACGCCCTTGGCTTGGGGGCAGTGTAGTCAGGAGAAGGGAAACGAGGAAATGGACCTGCTGTTGTCACTGTCAAGCCAGCCATGAGAACATTCTGGCTTCTTTCAACATGTCCTCCTGAACCAGTCAAGCTCTAATGCGCCCTCACATGCCCAGCATGGTGCCCAGTGCAGAGAACGTGAGGTTTTAAATTCGAGCAGGAGACTTTAGCGGTTTGTATTCATTAGCACATTTAACTTCAGCTTGGAAAAGTTTACATTGAATTTCATCTTGTTTTTTCTTACAGTGAAAAATGTGAGATTTTACAGTATTCTGCAAGAGAAGCTGAAGATTCAACAAAGGTAAGAAAATGGTTGAAAAGTTGAAAGTTATTCCTACATTTGATTCATGTGTAAGGTTCTTGCAAATCAGATCGTCAGTTAGATTCCCAGTGGTCTTAACAAACATCATTATTTTATCACCTAAAAGCAGTGCCAGTCAAATCCATCACCACACTCCCCTGGCCATAAGGTTTTGATATTCTTTTAAGTAATTCAGTTTCTATGATCTGAAGATTATAGAGGCCACGGAATCGGGGGCCATCCACTCCACCATTTTTATTAAAGAAATGGAGAATTGAAAGTTAGATTAGTTAATGGGAAAGATTTACATGTAAAGATAACAGTTTTCCCTAAATTAGTGTATTTTGTGAAAGTCTAGTAAATCTTGGTGTAGTTTTCAGGGAACTTTTTGAATAATAGCCAGACAAACGTTAAAACATCTGAAGAAGAGTAACGAAAGAATATTTGCCCTCTCACGTATAAAAGCAAACTATATGATTATAGTAAGGAGAGCACTGTGGTGTTAATGCAAGAATTAATAAAGAGCCTAATGGAACAAAACAAGAGTCCAGAGACACGTATGCACCTGTGTATATCTTCAGTTTGGCAAAGTTAGTTCCTTAAAGGATAATTACAAAAATGGAAGTAGAGGAAAATGGTTTCTTACATGGTACTGAGGCAATTGAACATCCATTTGTTAAAAAACAAGTTTTTTATTTTGTATTTTATGTATTAAGCATAAATTACTAAAAACAAAACAAGGTATAACAATTCTAGAAGAAAATACACATTTTAGGATCTGGTCTTGAAGTGTGAGTGGCGTCCGTGTAACAGAGAAGCTTTGCATAGTTGGCTGCTGGGATGACAAGCACGCTTCATTTGCCTCTCAGCATTGGGAGGATGAGAAGAGGGAGGTTAACTGAGCTTTTCTGCACAGAGAGGAGCATTCTCCTTGCAGAGGGAAGCCCTGCATTCTCGCCCAGGCTCTCCTACTACCAGTTGTAAAGTTCTTTTGAGACCTTGGTTTATTCTACTCAGACTGATTAAATTACATTTCATTTTCTCCTCGGCCTTCTGTTTCTGTTTTTAGAGTATTTATATACCTTTGAGAAACTGTTTAGGTGGCATGTATCTTAGCAGAAGAATAGTACATTTTGTCTCTTACACTATATTATTTGAGTTTGCTTTTTGAATCTACTCAAATTCTCGAAACTAAAGAGGGTTCCTGAGTTTGGCCTGTTTTGAGGAAAGAATGCTTATGGAAGGATTACTCCTCTGGAAGGTCAGACTGTACAGACAGCCAGCCTTGGGGCTGGGCACCTGGATCATTAGGTCTCTCTAGGAAATGGGTTTATATCTTATTCTTTTGTCATTTTGAGAGGCTGGGTTTTGCCTTTTAGAATGAACTTACTTGGGAAGAAATGAGTAGCCTGTCCTGAAGGCTGATCTTTCTCCCTAGTCTTGATTGTTCTCGCCTGTCCTTGTTCTCCCAGCCTGCAGGGTAGTGTCTGCACTACTTCCTGATCCCTGAGTGTTAGCTAGGCAAGGCCATACTGCCATGCAACACTCAACCCCACCGTCTCATTAAAGGTCAGCCAGCTTCACTTTCATTCTGACTGTTATGGTGTGATTCTTCCTGCTAGATATTCATAGCTTACAATGTATTAAAATGTTACCTCTTGGCCAGGCATGGTGGCTCATGTCTGTAATCCCAGCACTTTGGGAGGCTGAGGCAGGAGGATTGCTTGAGCCCAGGAGTTAGAGACTAGCCTGGGCAACATGGCGAGACCCCATCTCTACTAAGAATACAAACATTAGCCAGGTGTGGTGGCGGGCGCCTGTAGTCCCAGCAACTCGGGAGGCAGAGGTGCTCAGGTGGGAGGATTGCTTGAGCCCAGGAGGCCAAGGCTGCAGTGTGCTGTGATTGTACCATTACTTTCCAGCCTGGATGACAGAGCCAGACTCTGTCTCAAAAACAAGCTACTTCATTTACATTTCTAAAATGGGGTTCTCTGTTTAACCTGAATTTTTCCTGTCTTAGGTGGTAGAGGACATTGAATACCTTAAGTTCGAGAAAGGGCCGTGGCTCCAGCAGGACGATCGCTCTTTACACCACCTGCGATTACTGTAAGTGCATCTGTGTGGGGGCTGCTGCACGTGTGGGGTCTACTTGCATAATGGGGAAACTTAGGGAAATTTGAAATAATTACGTTTCAAGTTAGGTGTTAGCACGACCAACCAATACTTAGATGCATTTTCTCTTCCAAACAGCTCCTGAACCCCCTGGTCTGATACTTAATTTATTGAGTGCCATTATTAATTTAACAGGCATTTTGCTTCCACTATGTGCAGCACCGTTCCAGATTTAAGGGATTTAAGTGTCAGATAAAATTCTTGATGTCTTTGAAAATGTGTTTTAGTGGGGGAGACAGAGTAAACAAATAGATGAAACTGTCAGGTCACAAAGGCCAGGGAGAGAAGTAACCCGGAGTAACAGGGTGGTGAGTAGCTAGGGGTGACAAAGGGCCCGTCTTGGGACAAGGCCTAAGTGAGGCCACGATTGGGTCCTGTGGGCTGTCGGGTGAGCAAAGGGCAGGGGCTCGGCAGGTGCAGAGGCTCTGAGGCAGTACTGTGGTGGGAAGGTGCACCCAGCAGCCAAGCCAGTGTGGCTGGAACAAGCTGGGGGAGGGGAGGCCACGGCGGAAGGCGGGTAGGTCGTGGTGCATTTGGTGGGTTTTTAATCTGATGAGATGAGATGCCATTTGGGGGTTTGAAGCAGAGAAGTAATACGATGTGACTTATATCCATTCAGCTATTGTGTGGATTCTTTGGTATCTATTAAATGAAAAACAAAAACTGTACCAATTCGGTAAGTTGAAAAAAAAGCTGTCTTCATCTACATCACTCCATTGAAACTGCTCCTGCCGAGAAGACGGCCTTGCAGCTCCAAATGCAGCAGACCCTTGTCTGTCTTCATGCTGCTCCCTGGCCCTGGAAGCAGCGCTGCGCCCCTCTTCTCCACTCCCTTCTCCTGGTTCCATGCCCCCCGACTCCCCCAGTCTGTCACTCCTCCACCAGCCACTGCCCTCTGGGGCCGGGCTCTCCTTTTGCAGTTCCTTCTGCCTGCCACTGGGCTCTGGCAGGCACAGTGACCCGGGCAGGGTCTTGTCCGTTGACTTCGATTTCTTGAGGACATACCTAGTCACACAGCTGTGGATAGCATGGATACCACCGTAGGTCCTAGCCCAGACCTTTCCCCTACACACCCCGCAAATGTCCCCCGGGTGCCTCTTGCAGTGTCTCTGTGCACTGGCCTTCCCACCAGTGATCCCCAGCTCTGCCTTTTCTGTCCTGGCTGGTGCTGGCTGCCTGGGAATCTCACCCTGCTTGGGTCTCTCCTCTACCGCCCACCCCAGCTGCTGCTCATCACTGCAACGCCCAGTGCCTGGCACAGGCCTCATATCCAGCGTGCACTCAGGAGATGCATCTGGAACGAGTGACTTTGATTTCTGTGTTCTTGGCCCTATGAAGCTGGTGTTCTTAGACCATTGGTGCTTACCTTCTTTTTCTGCCTGATGGGATATGAGTGATACAGTAGTCTCCTAGGATGACCAGAGGGATAGCTGGCTCATTGTACATGTCACTAAAAGTTCACTGATCAAAATGTAAACAGAATGTGTAGTAAGTCTACTTCTGGCCAGGCAGGGTTCACGTCTGTAAATCCAGCACGTTGGGAAGCTCAAGTGGGAGGATTGCTAGAGCCCTGAAGTTCGAGACCAGCCCGGGCAATATAGTGAGACCCCATTTCTACAAACAATTTAAAAATTACCTGGGTATGGTGGCGCATACCTGTGGTCCCAGCTACTTGGGAGGCTAAGGTGGGAGGGTCACTTGAACCTGGGAGTTTGAGGCTGTGATGAGCTGTGTTCACGCCACTGTGCTCCAGCCTGGACGACAGAGACCTTGTCTCTCAAAAGAAGTTTACTTCTGTTTTGATGTTTTTAGTATAGCATTAATAAGCAGAAAATGGATTTACATTAAAAAAAAAAAAAAGCCATTCTACTTAGTTTGTTAATTCCTGCCACACTGTTAAAATGGTGTTTGCAAAATCAGTTTTCTAGTTAGTGGAATGGATACTGAAGGGTGAGTGAGGTAGGCATACTGTGGGGTCCTCATGTCAGACTGAGGAGATAGGAAGGGTCAGGTCAGCCCTTAGCTGGCTGTGTGACTTGGCACAAGTTACTTTATCTGCCTGTGCCTCCATATATAAGATTATGGCAGTGAACTAGAGTGCTAGGCTGTATGTATTGAAGGAAAAAACAAATATAAATTTCATATATTATATTCCATATATTCACTACTGTATAAAATGGTATTAATCTAAAAGTAGCCTACTGAAATGATTGGCTCTAGAAAGTCTTTTTAAAGGAATCTAGCAAATCTTCCATTAGAAAGTAAAACAACAAAACCTGCTTTCTTTTTTTTTTTTTTTTTTGAGTTGGAGTTTTGCTCTTGTTGCCCCGACTGGAGTGCGGTAGTGCGATCTCAGCTCACTGCAACCTCCACCTCCTGGGTTCAAGCGATTCTTCTGCCTCAGCCTCCTGAATAGATGGGATTATAGGCATGCGCCACCACACCTGGCTAATTTTTTGTGTTTTTAGTAGAGACGGGGTTTCGCCATGTGGGCAGACTGGTCTCGAACTCCTGACCTCAGGTGATCCGCCCGCCTCGGCCTCCGAAAGTGCTGGGGTTACAGGCGTGAGCCTCTGCACCGGCCTTCCTTGTCTTTCTGAGCCATTACTAGGAGATGGAATTAAAGCACAAAGCACTGCTTTTGGCCTCTGAATCAGTATTCTGCCTCCTGGAGACAATGGCCAGAGGTTACAGTGCCTGCTCCACATGGACAACACATCTCAGCCTGAGGGCCGTGAGTCCGCTGATCGATGGGGCGACTGACCAGAAATGAGAGGGGTCCTCTGAGATGTCTGAATGTAGAGGTTTCTCCGAGTCATTAAAGTCAGCTGATCATTCCCTGTGCAGCCGTTTTTGTGCAAAGTCAGTGTGTGCTTTGCTCTGAACTGTGGCAAGGGCCATCAAACATTGGTTCATTCCGAGTAATTTTAACTTTAGGACAGAGATACGTAGGTGATGGAGACCAAGAGGGGAAAATAAAAGTATATTTCTGAAAAGAAAATGATTGTTGTGATACCAGAGACTCACCATTTCATAACCAGGTCAGACGGATCCCTTGAGAGGAACTCAGCCAGTCACCTGTCGCTGTGCCCCTGGGCAAGGGGCCTAACCTCTCTGAGCCTCTGTCTGCTTCTCGTAAAGCAGGGAGAAAATAGAAGCTACCTCATAGGACTGTTGTGGGGATTCAATGTGCGAATAATTTGAAAGGCTCAGAACAGTGTATATCATAAGCACTAAAGTTGTAGAGACTATGTTATACTGTTTGTGGTATATTACACTCTGATTGTAGATTCATTATGTGCTTACATTTCTCTGTTAATGTTTTTGTTCTTTAATCCTAAGCTTTTTTTTTTTTTTTTAACTTTTTAAGTAGTGTTTTTCTGATCTCAGAAATAATTTATATTATCCTCAATTCACACATTATGGAAATCTACAGTGAAGTTGAAACCACATGCTGAGGACAACCGTGATGAAGATGCTATTCATATTTTTTTCTGTGCATGTGCCAGTGCAGTTTACTGTTTTGTTGTTGTAATCCAGATTCCCAGTGCGCCCCGCCCCTTGGTGGGAGAGCTGACCTGAGTGATGTGCCCCCCAACCTTGCAGGGTTGAACGCCACGGGGCTTAGCACTGCCTTGTATATGTAGTTCTGTGTTGCTTAACAACAGGGATATGTTCTAAGAAAGGCGTCGTTAGGCGATTTCATCATTGTGAAAACATCGTACTGTGTATTTACACAAGCCTAGATGCTGTAGCCTGCACACCTAGGCGGTGTGGCGGAGCCTGTTACTCCTAGACTGCAAACCTGTGCAGCGTGGTACAGTACTGAACACTGTCGCCAGTTGTGACACAGTGGTAAGTGTTTGTGTATCTAAACATAAAAAATAAAATAGTATAAAAGATAAAAATGGTCCACCTGCCTAGGGCAGGCACCGTGAGTGGAGCTGGCGGGACTGGCAGTTGCTCTGGGTGAGTCAGTGAATGAGTGGTGGGTGAATGTGAAGGTCTAGGACATGACCGTACACTACGGTAGACTTTGTAAACAATGTACAATTAGGCTACATTAAATTTATATAAAAAGTTTTTTTCTTCAGTAAGAGATTAACCTTCACTTACTATAACTTTCTTTATAAACTTAAATTTTTTTTCTTTCTTTCTATCCTTATTCTAGAAGTATTTTCTGAGTTTTAAAATTACTTATTTTTACTTTTTAAACTTCTGTTGTTGTTGTTTATTAAGATACAAACACAGTGGCCTAGGCCTACACGGGGTTGGGAGCATCCACACCTGTCTCACTGGAAGGCCTTCACGGGCAGTAACACACATGGAGCTGTCACCTCCTGTGACAATGATGCCTTCTTCTGGATGCCTCCTGAAGGACCTGCCTGAGGCTGTTTTACGGTTACTTTTTTGAATAAGTAAGATGAGTACTTTAAAAATCACGATAAAATGTCTAGTATAGTAAATCACCTAAACCAGTAACGTGGTCACTGATGAGAATATCAGGTATTCTGTACTCTGCATAATTGTGTGTGCTGAACTCTTCCACGACTGGCGGTGCAGTAGGTTTGTTTACACCACATCACCGGAAATATGGGAGTCACGCGTTGAGCCATGGCACTGTGACAGCTGCTGTGATAGGAAGCGTTCAGCTCCGTTAGAGTCTTGTAGGACCACGTTGTGTATGTGACCTGTTGTGTACTGAAGCACCATGCTGTGCGTGACTGGAAACCGGCAGGAACCTGCCGCACTGTACAAACAACGTGGGTTTCACAGGAAGGCCACAGGAAGGCTCTGTCGTTCACTGTCCGTCAGTATGACTTTGTGAATTTGCCATCACGTTTCCATTTTCCCAATATTCAGCTTTAGCTGCAGCTGTCAGGTTCCTCGTAGGAAACAGAAGGCACATTTGACCAGAGAACAGAAGAGGGTTT